AAATAACCTGTTTTCCTATTCTTTTAGTCTCCCTAGAGGCCTTATCCATCTCAAACTTGCTGAAAACCTAAAGGACTGGGAGTATCTGAGGGTGGTGGGCTAGTGGCAACAAGTGTGCAGTGTAGTGAATGGGAGGAGAGATCAGCACGTGAGATGTGATAATCTAACAAGGAAACCAATACATTGTGAGACTCCCAGAGCCTCCAATTGAGGCGAGATGGCTGTTTCCTGTGCCTTAAATCAACACAGCATTGGAGAAGGCCTCTGAGATTTTAATGTGTGTGCCCTTGTGGTGCAAGGCCCTGCCTTTACCAATAAATGGGAAGTAAAGGCCCTGCCTTTACCAATAAATTTCATTGGGATCAACTAGGAGATGAAGCGAGTTAGCATGTGCCTGAAGGACCCAATCAAGAACAGAGGAGGCCGGGGCTGCCTTCCCTCTCAGCAAGAATCCCAAACAGGCAGCAAAGTTGTTTCTCTCTGTTCTGAGATCGCAGACTGTTGCTAGAGGAGATGTGCCATCTTTCTCCCTCTGGTTCAGCCTCGTTATGGAAGGTCACCCACACAGAGTGCATGTTCTGGAGTACACTTGACCCAGTCAGAAAACGCAAGGAACCCAGGTGTCAGGAGAGGCGGGTTGTAGCCTTGGCCTTGGCCTGAATGACTTGGGGCAATCATTTTCCCTCTGGGTCTTCATTTTCCTCATCTGAAAAATAAGGGTGCTGAAAAAGCTCAGTCATTTCTTTCAACGTTTTCTTAGTAGAGTCCTTTCATTACACTAATCATAATGCGAAAGTTGCGGGTACAGAGAGTGTAGAAGCACAACGGAATTGCCTGATAAGGCTCCGAGGAGAATCAATAGACTTCCCACTTGCTCAGTCTCCCATCTCCTCTCCTCTCCCTCTACCACAAATTTTGAAAATCTGTGGACTAGAATTGTGGACTCATGTTTTTTCCTGAACAGGGTACATAACTAAAATTAATTTTAAGTGAGTTACATCAGTATATACATGTTGAGAAGCTGTATAGAGTTACTACTGTCTATCCCTGCGTTAACTATTAACAGAATTCTTTTTAATTTTTTAAAGTACAAAATAAATACAGCTAGAAGTTTCAATATTTTCTTCCCATACCCTGGTGGACTGTCTTGCTCAATTCCTGGAGTGTGCATACCCTACTTTGGAGATCACTGACTCCCAGGGGTCCCCAGGTTCTTTCCATTCCTGCTGTTTTAGAAATCTGTGCCTGGAACAGAGAAACAGTGCTAGTATTCCCAAGCCTTTGTTATTGCTTATAGAAGAAATGAGTTTCTGGGACCTTGAGAGAGTCATTGTATGAGGAGAAAAATATGTCGCTATAAACTCAGGACAATGTCTTAATTCTGCTCTGTTGGCTGAGGTATCTATCTGGGACTCTCCCCTGCTCTCACCTGTCAAGTTTCTCTAGCCTCCTAGCACACGTTTGGCATAATCCACTGCTCTAGTTGGGAACCAGTAGCCTTGAATGTGGCTATGCTAGGAGATTTTTTCAGAAATCTTATGAAGGAAGAATTATAGCTTGAAAATTCTCCACCACAGTTTTAGGAGTATTTTGTGAAGACCAGGGAAACAAGGGGGTGTGCATGATAACCTCTTCTTTCTCTTTAGGCTTTGGCTAAGGGGCTGGTCTGTTCCTGGAAAAGGAAAAGAGCTTCGCAGTCCTGCTGGGTCATTTTCTCTGGGAAGACCATAGGGCTCAGAGGAGAGGTAGCTGAGACCAATCCCCAGTCCCCAACCGCTCATAACTCATTTGAGAGATATGCAAAGCTGTCAGAACTGCCAAAGCCTGCTTGCCAAGGCAGGCTTCTCTCCAAATGGGCTTCTGTATTTATGAGAAACCAAAGTAAAACACAGGGGGCAATGCCCCACAAGGACATGGTTAATGAAAAGCAAGGCAGTGGGAGAGACAGTCAGGGCATCACCCCAAACTGAATGATGGCTTGATGGGCTAGGAGCCTTGACCTAGGTACAGCCAGAAAGCAAGTCTTACTATCTTTGGACACTGCATTAGTTTGATAAGGCCACTGTAACACACTGGGTGATTTACCCCAGCAGCACTGCTTCTCTCACATTTTTGAGGTCTGAAAGCAAGGTTCTGGCTGGGAAGTTTCCCTTTGAAGGCTCCAGAGCAGGGTGGTTCCTTGCTCCTTTCAGGTTCTGATGGTTGCTGGCACTGTCAACATCCCTCGGCTTGTAGCTGCATCATTCCAATCTTTGCCTTTGTCTTCACACAACTTTCTCTCTTGTGCATTTTCCCTCTTATAAGAACATTGAGCAGGCTGGGCATTTAGCTGATTGGCACAGTGCTTGCCTGGCAAGATCAAGGTCCTGAGTTTGACTCTTGGTACAAAAAAGAAAAAGAACAATGACATTGTTGAATTTAGGGCCGGACTTAATACAGTATGATAGCAATATGATAATTTTTACAAAGATCTTATTTCTAAATAAGGTCACAATTACAGATTCTGGGTGAATATTTTGAGGGAGATATAACCCAACCCATTATACTCCCCAAATATACCTTTTGCCAGGGAAGAATGGGAGTCAATGACAAACAGTTTACTTTACTTTATTAAACTCTGAATACTGCACCAAGTCTTCAGGAGGGGATAGGCAAACGGACAGGTTGATGGTCTGAAATCTCTCCTTAGACTTCTCACACTTGTAAGTCTCCCAGAAGTTCTAGTGCTTAAATCCCCTCTCAACATAACTCAAGCAAACAAAGGTCTCATCACTTTTTAAGGGGATCCAGGAAAGAACTTCACAACTCTCATCCCTGTTGGGTAGGAGAAGCCTAAATTTCAAATCTGACCAATCACTGAGGTGTGATTGATCTGACCATACCAACTAAATGAGACAGGAAATTTGCTCTGAATTTAGCCTTCAAGGTCAACATTAAGACTTAGACCAATGACTCTTTTTTGCTTTTTAAAAAGAAATTTGACTCTCCAGATTTATGTATTCACAAATTATTATTTTTTTTGCTTTCTCCCTTTTCTGCCATTACCTTCTCTTCTCCTTCTTAATTTAAATCTCTTCTGTCTGCTATTTTCTCTAATTTTTAGTCTCTAAAAATTAAAAAAAAAATCCTTTTATTCCTTCTCCCGGCTAGCAGAGAGGAGCTCGGCCTCTCTCGGGGGTGCTGACTCAGGCCCTCGCCCCCTCCTTCCTTTGCAGCCCTCGCTGCTCCCTCTGTCCACATCAGTAGAGAGGGAGATGAGAAAGAGGAGACTGGAAAAGGGTAGAGGGCATGGAGGGAAAAACGACACCTCAGAGGGAACACTGGAAAATGTCAGGAAAGGACCGAAACTCAAGCACTGAACCCAGCCAAGACCAACAGCACAAAAAGTGGGAATGAATGGGGGAAGGACACGAAAACTCAGGTCAAAGCACAGAGGAGACAGGCTGAGAAAATGCAGGGAAATGTTGGAAGGAAAGACAACAGGGCACAAAAAGAGCCAGACAGGAGGACTAGGGAATTAGAATAGCAGGAAGTAGCTGGATATTGTGCAAGGTGGTGAAGGTCTTTCTGTGTAATACTGACTCCATAAACTTTCCTAAAGCATACAGTGTTGAATGCGTACTGGGCATGTCTTACTGAGCAAATCATGAAAAATTCCTATAATTTGGTCTATCTGACCCTTGTCTTTTAGCTCAGTGTCACTGCATCTTATGAGTTTCTCAAACAGTAACGCTTAGGCCAGGGGTCTTCTCTTGTCCTTAGGTCCCCAGAAAATGACAGACTTCCTTTTGCTATCTAGACCGGAGCAGCTGGGAGTCCCAGGAGGCATGGTTAATCTTGAGGTGGCAATGATAAGTGCTATATTTTGGTAGCCAACTTCTTTTGCTGGAACTCTTCTCTCTCTCTTTTCAGTACTCCATCTTTTAACCAAGGACTCACAGGCCCACTCCCCTTCATTCTTCTGAACACTTATGAACCTCTTCTCCTTCTGATCAAAATATCTTTATCAGTGCAAAGCAGACACTTTGCTAGCTAGCATTCACTCTCCAGGGTCTTGGCATACGTTGTCTCTACCCCTAGGTGGTCCAAAGTTGAAGGCAATTTACCTAGATGCCTGGGCAGCCTAAGCTTTCACCAAGTGCATGGGTCTGTAGTGGTGAGCAAATCTTGCCCGGGGGCTGAGGGTGAGGAAGGAGTACCTACTTGGGCTGAACCATATGTCATCAGAATTATTCTTGAAGATTCCTTAGAAAGATATCATTTTGCAGACCAGTTATTTCAAATGCCTCCGTGGAAGGAACAGTGATCATCTTTCATTTTAGAGGAAAGATGGTAGTCTCAGCTTATTGAAATAACTTTTGTTCATCTGAGTTTGTCTGAGTTTGTTTGATCACATTGAGGAAAACAATCTCTTGGCTAGATGTTCACAGCTGAAAATGGAACGATTCTGAGGAAAACTGAAAGAAACACAGATTCCTTTCTACTTCGAAGCTATAACTTGTAGAGGCAAATGATGGGCAGTTGTTACTTTTTCTCCTCAAGGAGGGCATAGCACTTGTGTAAATTAAAACTGAGCCTTGGGGACTCCTCTCTATTGGTGTGCACTCTTTATTGGTTGTGCAATAGAGTGAAAGAGATGGGGGGTCATTTTCTCCTAAGTTGTCTGGCAAAGTCAGGACTGTCCTGGAATTGGTGGACCCAGCTCTGCCCCAAGCTTTCTCTTCCCACACGGACCCTCCCGAGGTCCAGATGGCATGGGATTAAAAAAAACTCATGTTGTATTTTGGAGATTTATTATCAAACTCAATTTCTCTCGAACTGGAGCTTCCAAAGTGAATTGCTGCTGTCCACTGGAGGCACAGCTCCTGACCAGGGCCCCCCAGCTGAGAAAACTAGGTGGAGTCACAGTTCGGAGGAGCGCAGGGGAAGGTGAGAATGCAGCTGGGCAAACAGAGCAGGCATTGTTCCCGGCAGCATGAGGCTGCGGCCTCGGCTGGTGCCTTCCACAGAGTGCATCTGACAAGCACATCGCCTGGCTGCTGTGTTTACACAGGTGCCTTTCTCCCCAGGGGCGCTCTGGCTCTGCAAACAGGCGTGACTGCGTGCTGCCATAAGATGGATGCTCACATCTGCATGCTGCCGAGGGGAGAAACTGAGGCCCAGAGCACAGAAGAAAGGCTTTGGAGCTCAGCAAACCAATGATGGACACCAGAAGGTCAGGCAGGTGCTCCGTCTTCCCCCAAGCCTCTCTGGTTACCAGGCCCCCTTTGTTTGGTCAGACCTGCTCTTAACAGGGACGAGGCCTTGGGCTTTTCCCTTGGGGAAATTGCCACAGCTTCCCCATCTACCACACCCATCTGTTGGGGGCGGGCGCCTGGCCAGTGACTGCTGGTCACCTCTGTTAGTACAGCCCAGCCAGCCGAGTGGCCGGGGAAGAGGGGCTGGAAAGCAGTGTCATACTCATAAGATGTCCCCTTGGTGCTCCTAATACCCACTCCACTGTATTCATATGATTTTCCTCTCCACCTGCCACAGTATCTTCTGGGAAACAGACTCTGAGGGAAGTCAGAGTAGCAACTTGGCTTATTCATTCATTTGTGTGTGTGTGTGTGTGTGTGTGTGTGTGTATTTTCAGTTGTCCAGTGTCAAAGCTTCAACTCAAATGCCTCAGATTCTCTAGCAGATAAGTTAAAAGGAAACAAAAGGGGGTAAAGTCATCTGCAGATTAAAAAAAGATTGAAAAGACACATCACATTTTTTTTTAATGGCCAAGACTAAACTGCAGTATCTAGAGATGCCTCCCTGGTGCCCAAATCATAGAGATGCAAGGAAGGCATCACGCTAAAAGCCAGGAGAATGCTCACTTACAGAGAAAGGGGGGGGCATTGAGACTAAACTGGGCTACATGGAGTGGTCTATTTCTTTACCCCAGTGTTAACTGTGCTACAGTGCACTTCATAGTTATCTATTATTACTTTTTTTTTATACCGAGAATCGAACTCAGGACCTTGCGCTTGCCAGGTAAGAGCTGTGCTGCTGAGCTATATCCCTGGCCCCTGTTATTATTAAGTTATACAGCTGTTTTGTGTGGGGCCTGCTGAGGTTTCTATCTGGCCTCAAAGCTTCACATGCTCAGAAGTGAGGGTTTTGACAGCTGATTGCATTGTGGGAGCAGATAGCTGACTAGCTGTTAGGAGGTAGTGTGGTCACGGGGGATGTGGTCAGCCAGTATATTTCTCCCATCCAGGCTCCTCCTTTCACTCTCTCTTCACCCTTCTGACTGCCATGAGGTGAGCAGCTTTCTGCCCAGGCCCTTCCAGCATACTTTCCTGCCTTGGAGCAGGCCAACTATGGACTAAAATCACAAGCCAAGACAAACCTCTCTTTTTAAAAATTGTGGGTGTCAGGTAATGTGTATCAGCCCACAAGGAAACTGATGAAGACAGAATTTGAACTGGTCTTTGTGGTTTAATTTACAGTGAAAGTGTTATAATAGGCAATCAGTTCCCCAAAGGCTGGGCAGCTGGATCTTTTAGGATGCAGATATGTGTCACCGTTCCCCTCCCAGCTGACAGAATTATGTCAGAGTAGCAGCCATTTTTTGAGGGCACCATTCTCTGTACCCTAAATTTGGAGGGTAACCACAGTGGCATGGGACAATCTAACAAAGCAAGGCCTCCCCTTGATTACTTCAAATAGGAAAATCACCCTAGTGAGTTTTCTTCTGTTTTTCTATAGTGAATCAGGATCTTTAGAATATTTTCAAGTAGCTGCAGGTGACCGATCCGAAAGACTTACCTGGACAAGAGCAATGCCAGTGGAGGTGCCTGCCTGCCTGTGTGTCCCTCTGGGGCTGTTTGTCCCTACCTACTGTCAGGTAGAGATGTTCCCTTCCTTGCTAGCTGATGACAGTCACAGGGACCGCCTAAGATGCAACTCTGACTAACACAAATTCTAGGAACTAACTTTTCCAAGTAAATGATCTGTTGATCCTAGTGAGGCCATTGGAGACACTCAAATATCATCCCAGGGTCCCCAAGTGCGTGTGTACCATTGTGTGCATGGCTGTTTAGAAGGAGACAGAAGGTTGCTAGGCAATACATTTCCAAAAAGGAGAGTGTGAGGAAAAAAAAAATAAGCAGATGACAGGGATGGGATCCAAAGCCTGTTATGACAAGAACGTTTGGGTCCAGTTCATTCTGGTTTGATGGGAGTGCCATGGGGATGTCAGAGCTTGCTCAGCTCTCGCATGAGTTTCCAATCTTGCCTTTCAGCTCCTCACCCTCTGTCTTATGTGGTGGGGAAAGCGGAGGTGAAATATGGCTCTCTAGAGGGCCATGCCTTTGTGAAAGGCTATTACAGCTGTAGCAAAACTTTTGTAATCTGTAACCATATCCCTTACATCTCCAGGCTCCTTGGGTCCCTTCCCAGCCTTAAGGAAACACATACACACACACACACCTCTTTCTTTCTCTCCTTCCTTCCTTCCTTCCTTCCTTCCTTCCTTCCTTTCTTTCTTTCTTTCTTTAGATTATACTTATCTAAATCCTTTCCTTTCCTTTCCTTTCCTTTCCTTTCCTTTCCTTTCCTTTCCTTTCCTTTCCTTTCCTTTCCTTTCCTTTCCTTTCCTTTCCTTTCC